TTAGATGTTGGGAATCAGAATTACGGATGTGGTGCAGTTATTGATAACAGCAAGTTCTAGGGGAAGGTGTGACTGGGACATAGGAGCAGCTTGTTGGAGACAGGAAGAAGTCGAGGAGATCGAAGGCCAGCGTATTGGATGGATCTATCTGTACATGCATGATGAAGTAAAAAAAAGTGTGGAAGAATTAGTGAGTGAGGTGTTCACTTTCTCAGTGAATGAGGGGAGTACCAGGAGGAGAGCACATACTTGTAACGGGAGGATCGGTTTTGATAATCTGGCTGAGGTATTTAAGGAAGGAAGGGAAGAACAGTGACCTGGGGAGGAGGAGGTGACCTAGAGATTATAGGGCACAGGAGGATAACTCCCCTTCTAGGTGCTGTGTTAATGGGTGGGCAAGAAAACACTAAGGTACATGTCACATAAGGGCAGTAGTCTACGTTAGCATTTAGAAACCATGTAGCATTAATTACAGTTTGAATTTTTGACTTTGCAATAGCTCAAGTAGTTTGCCTAGCTCGTGTCCAGATTGGTACGGGGACGGATTCAGTCCTGTTTTAGCTGACTGGTCAAAAAGGTCATCTCTCCTTCATCCCTCACTTGGGTGAATGCAGTAGTCTGCTCACTGGCCCCTTGCTTGCGCTCTTGACCTCGTTGTCGTCTGCTCTCTATACAGGGGCCAAAATGATCCATCTGTCTAGAGAAGGAACAGTTGAACTGGACATTACTATAATTTGCCTCCATATTTTGCGGTAACAGCTATGTACTGTTAGCTGACATGCATGGCAGGAGGAACTCAATTTAGACATCATCTTGTATTTTACCATTTACGTGAATCTAAGGATTTGGTTAGAATTGAGGTGAGCCATTTTAAGTAATAGTTATCCTTCCTAACGTTTGTACGTATGACAACAAAATGTTAATATTTTCTTGGAAACCACATGGTGTTTGAGCTGCACTTGAGGAAGTATGTAATTATGGCACTTTATTTACCCTCATCTAGTACGTCATAAAGCAAACAAGTAGAATTTGAGGGAAGACATGGCTTAATATTTGACTACCATTTAGCATACAGGAGGTATGTGTCTAGATATCAGATCACTTGATCCTTTACACTTGGTTGTTAATAAAATGTTGGCACTTTAGTGCATATTATCATACTTTTTTGTAATGATAAACTGCAGTAGTATTTATCTTCATTTTCTAGATGAAGAAACAGATTCAGAGAGGTTGCAGGATTTACCCAAGGACATAATGGCATGACAGAGCACAGACATAAACTACCGTATTCTGATACCAAATCCTGTGTTTTCCCACTGGGTTGCAGTTCTCACTTCGTGCTAATAGAGGAATTTGAAGCCAACCGTATTAGTATAGACTCAGATAAAAAGGTTTTGTTACGAAGTTAACGTTTTCTTCTCTGACTCACTTTTAGAATAAGTAGGTCAAACTATGGCAGTGTGATTGAGCAAACTTGGTACCTGTGTTTTAGCTTTTGATATAAGGCTTTGTTCTCTAGACTAGGCTGATGGTTCCTGATTTCATGACCAAGGACTTGTTTCCTTTTTCTACAAGGTACCCAGGCTTAAATTATTTTTATTTATTTTTTTGCCTGTTAGGCATCACTTATTTGTCAAACTTGGTTTATTAAGTATTTTTTCACCTCTTAGTTAGTGCTTTTAATCAGCATGGGATAACTGATTTCTCAGTCAGTAGTCTCAGTCAAAAGCAAAGTGACATTGTTTTTGTTAGCCTGTATTGTTTGCTTTATGTGATAAATGTGTAATTGTTTTTTTCATTATTGAAATATTTGAAGTCGTTTTTGCATTCCTTTAAGAGTCTTAGGGACCCTCCACCCCCAGTTAAGAACAGTTGTAGATCTTACTGTTGAATAGGATGTGTAAAGGTGTTAACAGTAATGATGATGCTCAGTGGCCTCCTCCTAGCATATATTTTCCTCTTGATTCTCTAAATTTAGAGCACTGTATCCTTTTACTTAGGATAATGGGTTGTGGTATTAACTGATACATCCACTTACTGTACTAATGCATGACTGCCATGCTCTGGGGACTCCCCACTAGATTTGGGGGATTCAAAGAGTAAATACCATGTAGTCCCTGTCTTTGAGGAGCTTATACTAGTGCAAGAGGGAGATAATATTGTTACCTGAGTATAGTAGTAAGTGTTAGTCACAGGGTGCAGTGGGAGCTCAGAGAATGTGAGATGTCAGGTGGTGGTCAAAGGAACCTTAGCGGAGGACACAGGTCAGGCAATCCTGTGATTGCAGGATGGGCTGTGGAATCTGGTAGTTCTGGTTTTCAGTCCCAGTTCTGCTGTTGGAAAATCATATGATTTGGGGCAAATTAAATCACTTCCCTAACTATATTTTTCTCATCTGTAAAATGAGGATAATACCTACCTTCTAAGTTTGTAAAGATTTACTAAGAAAATGGAAAAGATTTAGCAGCACAGTGCCTGGTAGGTACATAATAGCTGCTCACCAAGTCAAAGCTGTTGCTGTTCCTCCTGTTGTTCCTGCTGCTGCGGCTGTGACTCTTACTTTGAAGGGTGAGTAGGGTTAGCTAGATAAAGAACAGGCAGGGGAGCGTGGGCTTTCTAGAGACAGGAAAGAGGATAATAGAAGACATGGTGATCAAATACATTATTTGAGGAATAAAATCATAACACCTACCTTAAAGGTTATTCTTTTTGCAAATTTCAATCTCTGTTGTTTCCTTCCCTGATTTCTTCTCAACTTTTTTTAAAAATATATCTTTATTGATTTCAGAGAGAGGAAAGGAGAGGGAGAGAGGGATAGAGACATCAATGATGAGAGAGTCACTGATTGAGCCCACAACCCGGGCATGTGCCCTGACCGGGAATCAAACACCGATCCCCTGGATCCTAGGTCGACGCTCAGCTGCTGAGCCACGCCCGGCTGGGCTCTTCTCAACTTCTTGATGTCTGTCTTCGAGGGCATCCCTCAGAATTTAGTTGTGTGCTCTCAAGTCTCTGATCTTTTTTATTGGAGAACTAGATGCACTTCTGGCTTCCTCCTTCACTGTCACAGAAATTACTTGCAGATTTATCAGTTGCTCTGACCTCTTTCCTAGATTCCTCTTAATTGGATCTTGTTGGTCTCCTAAAATTTCTACTTGACATATGTATGTACTCTTCCATAATTGCTTAATTTGTTCAAGTTCAGAAAAAATTGGAAGGGGACTCATCTACATTTGTCAGATTTTTACTTTGTCAAGCAGTGATATTTAAGAAAACAAACCCTCCATGTACCACATTTTATATAGAAAAGGATATTTTAACCTGAAAGTATAGAATGATTATAATCTTAGAATTTAAAAATATGTAGCTTTAAAAATAATGTAGTGAGCACTTTATTATTTTTCTTTTTGCTTCACACTACTGAAAACTTTATACATAGTGAAACACTGCTTTGGAGTAAATCTTTTTCTGTCTTGACATCGATCTGTCCAAAATTTGACTTTGATCATATTTTTTAGTGCTTAAACTGGCTCACCACTGCCTAACTGAAAAAAAAAAGCCTAATTTCTTGGGCCTTTACAGTTTGATTCCAGCTCTCTTTTCTAGTCTTTCCCCTCATCATATTTCTCTTTTATCAACTTAAAAAAATTGAAATAGTGGTGTTTATAGTTCGGATTGGATCCCGGTTCAAATCTGGTCTTGTCATTAGCTGTGTGGTCTCTGCAGATTACTGTAATGAGAAGGAGGAAAGCAGCTCTTGGCATCTGAGAGCTTCACAGGGGGGCTGTCAGCTAGGCCTTGGTGTTGCTCTGAGGTAGCCCAGCACTAAAAGCTAGTTCTCGGTGTCCTGTTGAAAACAATTTGACTGACCGTCAACATCAGAAAAGGCCATTCTGTGACCATGATGGATCAAGACAAAAACAAGGCCATGCCATTATCATGTCTGAACACAAACAAAACATGATCATTTTCCAAGTCACAAAATTCCCAGCACCCTCCTTCCCAGACTAATATCAGTGATGGTTTCTGCTTTACCAGTTCCAGCTTTAGTCCCCTTTAGGGAGCCTTCTATAAAGATTTGTTGAGAAACTCAGTCATAGCATTGTCTTGGCTTTCTCACAGCACCCAAGCCACAGTGAACTTCTGCTTTATACTCTCACCCAAAATCACCTAGCTAAGTCCCAAATCCTAAATAAGTCATTTCTAATACTTCCGTACTGAGTCACTCCACAGTTTCCCATGGTGTGTGTTCCTAATAAACCCAACTTATGCAACTGCAGCAGATATGTTCCTGATGTGGGGGTGGAGGGCATTGACAGTAACTACTTTGAGCCTTACTTTTTCTCATTTGTGAACCGGGACTAATATCTGTTTTGCAGAATTGTTATGCAGATTAGTTGGGAAACCAGCAAGCACCTAGCAGAGTCCTTGAACTTAGTAGATACTCAACAAAAGTTTGTTACTCCTGTCTTGTAAAGTGGTCTGATCAGTTGTGATCTCTTGAACAGGGCTCCTTGTTTTAACCCTTTCTTACTCATGAGCGCTCTGATCTCGTTCCTTCAAGACAGTACAGATACCTTCTGTTCTGTGAAACCTTTACATCTTTTAGTTCTCTCTTCTATCTCTGACCTTCAGATATTTATTGTTTTTACCATTTACTTGACTTAACAACCTTACTGTACCTTGTGGCATCTTTGTACTTACCTTTTGTTATTGAGTTCTTAATTTTTCATATACTTATACCTTGTTTGTTCAATTAAATTGTTCTTAAGAATGAGGGCTATGTTTAAATAAGAGCCTTTGAAACCAGTCAGTTTGTAGGGAACAGATTTCTTCACATTTGTTATAGTATTTTATACTCAGAAAATGCTTAAAGATGATCAAAGTGAAACAGAAGGAAGAGAATATACCATCATTTTTTACCTCCTCTAAATAGTGATACTGTGAAGTTTGCCTAAACCAGATCCTTGGTTCAAAACCTTTTGCATCTTCTTTCCTAGGTAACACAATGGTGGGTGAAGAGATGTCTCTGAGGAAACGGCAGCCGAAGTCCAGTGACAATCCTGAAGAAGAGGAAGACCAGGGAAACTCTGCAAAGCAGTCCCCAGAAACAACTAGTAATGGTGAGGCTTTTAATTATTACTTTTTTTGGAGGTGAATTAATGAAATAGAGAACAAATTCAGTGTTCTAGAATAGGGATTACCATCTCTTTATTATAAATGGATATGCTGGTAGGCACTGTAATGATGCAGAAGGGAAAAATATACTGATAAAGAGAATATAAAGGAACACCAATTTAATTGTCAGTCACAACCACCTTAGACACTATTGGTAACACAGCACATCTCATAGAGGTGAGCTTTACTGATGTAAGTGCAGTTTGCAATGTATACCTTAATGTAGTATTTATATTATATAGAATTTTATGTAATGAATAAATTAGAAAATAAGCTCTTAATTAATTCAGTGAACATTTTTTGGGTATCTATTTTGTTTTAGATACCATTCATCCATTTATTCATTCCTTCAACCACCTAACCTACCAATAATTATTGGTGCCCTGCTAGGTGCTGAGGCTTATAGCAGTGGTCGATACAGATGAGTTTGTCCTCTTGGAGCTCCTAGTTAAGTAAACGAGAAACACTCCCTCTGCAGTTAACATAGATTATTATGAATAAATGCTACTGATTACTCTCTTAATAGATGTAATGAGCATGAGAGTAATAACCAGGATAACCTAGTTGAGAACCAAACTGTAAATCTTAGGAGAGGTAGAAAGATTAGAAATTTTTATTGTTATACCCAAGTCTGTTTAACACACGAATACAGAGATGAGTATGACATAGTGCTTGTTGTTAAGGTCAAGGTGTGTGCTTAAGACTGATACACCTGTAAACACAGCTCCAACTGATGTCATCTATTGCATCAGGCTATTTATTTTTGCAATGAGATTTGTATAGGTTTCAGTTTAACAAGGATTTGAAAGTTTGAGACTTGTTTGGTTAACACATAAGGGTGGAACTAGGAGACAAGTTGTCTCACATCCTGGACTTCTTAAATAAAGAAACATTTTTTTGCTTTTTCTGCTTAAACTTAATTGTAAATATCAAGCAGCTGGATCCTCAGAAAAATGTTTCTGCTTAAGTTTGCATAATGAAATTGATTGCTATACTCTTAATTAGCTATTTATGAAACATTTGTACTGCATATGGGCTAGTTTCAGTGTGATATAAAATGGGAAATTTGAGCCAACCTTGGGTAGAAACATTCCCCTTTCATAATTTAGGGACTGGGCGAGAATCCATTTTGTTTGACGTAGAGTCAAAAAAATTGTTTTTTATTGAAACTTTCTCTCACCAGATACCATTTTCTCTTTTTGCCGCGATTTTTAAAAAGTGTTTAAATTACTCTAATTTCTACATATTTTCAGTATTCCTTATTGTTTTAGCTGATTAAGATTTAATCATTCCAGGTTTTAAAAATTGAATTTTTAAGCTTAAATCAAGTCTGACCTCCTTCTTGGTTTAGTGTAAGTAATGCTGATCTGGAAATTGACTGTGTTTCTCTAGTTGCTTAAGTATTTGTTTGCTTTTCACTTTGGGGAATAAGCAGATGGGTAAAATGCAGCCTTTGAGTTTTAAGGGCTTAAATCTCAAAGACTTAAGGACACCAAGCCATGCTAGTTAGTGTGGCCCACCAACCAGGATCAGGGCATCTGCACCACCTGGTAGCTTATTAGAAATGTCCCACCTCACATTTATTGAATGCAGTTTCATTTTAATATTCCCAGGTGACTCACATGCAGGTTAAAGTTTGAGACACACATCTTAGTGGCACTTTGCAACTGGGGTGTGTATTAGGGCCTTTCAGAGAAACACAACCAATAGGATATATGTAGGTACATAGAAAGATTTATCATGAGGGATTGGCTCAGTTGGAGGCTAAGTCCCATAATCTTCTGTCTGCAGACTGGAGGCTCAGGGGAGCCAGTGGTGTAGTTCTAGTCTAAACCTTAAGTGTGAAGTCCTGAGAATCAGGGCTGATGGTCTAAGTCCCAGTCTGAAGGACCGAGAAACTGGAGCACCATTGTCCCAGGGCAGTTCAAGTAAGAGAGCCTACATGTCTTTCCTTTGCCTTTCATTCTGTTCAGACCCTCTGGCATTGGAGAGGGTAATCTTCACGCAGTCTACGGATTCAACTGCTTATCTCTTCTGGAAACACCCTCACAGACACACCCAGAAATAATGTACCAGCTATCTGGGCTTCCCTTAGCCCGGTCAAATTGACACACAAAGTTAACCATCAAAGATTGTGCAGGAGAATTACCTGTAGAATGAAAAGAAACCATCCAACAAACAAAAACAGCTTCTTGGACCCCATTATAGATCTACTGAGTCAGAATCTCAAGGGGAGGGTCCAGGAATGTTAAGTTTGGAAAAGCTAGCTGGGCATCGCTGGTTGCAAATCACTAGTATCAAGAACTCTGAGACTTAGCTAGAACTACCTTGTGATATATCACTTTGACAGAACCCCAAGGACTTTTCTTCGTTAAACTCCGCGTATATAAATCTTGAGTTCTTATTCTGTGGTTTATGATTCTAGTAACTGTGGGTGGGGTGACTTTATGTCCTAATTTGGTCTCAGTTTTTACCTGTGTCCCGAGTAATTCTTCGTAGTGTCTGTTTGGTGTTCTCAGAAGTGCCCCAGTTTGTTAGATAAATTATATGGTTACCCAGCCTTTGGGTTATTGAATTAATAGTGACCATTATAGTGATTTTACAGTATGTAGTTCACATTTTCACAAAAGTATGCTTAGTTTATCCAGTGCCTATTAGGTGAAATTATGATTAGTTAGCTTGTATTTTGTTGCATTTGTTTGAAATAATACCAGTTCTGAAAATAACTTTTTGTCTAAATTGAAAATGTTATTATCTGATTTTAAAAGTAATACACGCTAATCAAAAAGCTTTTATTGTGCTATGGGATGTATATGCATTAAAGTGTTCAATTAATTCAAAATGTACAAAAAAGATAAAAAAGCAGAAATGACTCAAAATTCCGTCATTGAGAAATGAATATATGTCCTTCAGAGATATATAATTCCCACAAATAAGTAACATTTTACATAAATAGAATATTTTACATGCTGTTTAGTAACTGGGGTCTTTAAGACATTGTAGATGGCTTCCCATTGTCAAGTAATAGATGAGTGGCTATAAAGTTTTGTATTTTGCACATGTCATAGACAATTTACTTGTTTCTCTGATGAATATTTAAGTGGTTTCTTTTTTTTTCTGCTATAAAGAAATGGTAATGAATATCTTTACATATTTGTCAGATGCCTAAAGAAGATTTGCATGTTTAAAGGATGTTATTTTAAAGTATTTATTTTGATACATAGTACTGGATTGCAACATTTACCTTATAAACTTACCCTGTGTGTTTTTGTTGTTACTATGCCTGTTTAATTTTTGTTGTTGCCTGTTTAAATTTTAAAAACCTTATTTCTTCCTTACTATCTCTTTTCCTGACCGTGTACCTATCATTTCTACTCTTTTTCATTTGCACGTCTTGTAATACGCTGTGAAATGGTTCGTTCTAGAAGTAAATAAAAATGAGGACCCTGCATAACTTGATAGGAAAAGCTAAATTTTAGAATCTTACCTAGACCTAGTATTCTGCCACTGGCCCGTTCTGCCTGTGTCCTAAATGTGGAAATACGGTTTGAGTGGAGATGAGCTTAAGTCTTTTTCTGTCTTTTCTCCTCCTTTTCTTTCCTCCTCTTGGTCCCCTTCCTCTTCCCTTCTCCTCACGTGGCCCCTTCTCCTCTTCCTCTTTTTTCCTTCCATTTCTTCTAATGTATTTTATTGGTATAATTCACAAACCATAAAATTCACCATTTTCAGGTGTTCAATTCAGTGGTTGTCAGTGCATTTACGTTTTACAACCACATTGGGAAAATTTCCGGAGTTGGACACTTCCTGGAGGATGGTGCCCTAGAGACCAAAGAAAGAGGCCCGAGCTCCAAAATAAATGTAAGGGAAGCAAGACAAAGCAGGGTGTTGGATGCCAGCAAGAAGGTGGATCCCCATGTACTGCACGGAAAGGGGCTGCAATCTGATACATAGAGCCTCCAGGTGGAACACAGGTGGCTTGCGGCCAGGTGGTTAAGAGCTGTATATTCCAAGGCAGTAACAGTCTAATGGACCTACTTTGTAAGAATACTCCTTTCAGGTGATACAGGCTCATACCTCTCTGGGTGCACTGGCTGTCACTGAGAGCAGCTTGCTTCTTAAGATGGTATCCTTCATGCCAAGCCACAGAAACCTAACAAACTGTCATCATTGTTTAATTACAGAACATTTTTATCATCTCCAAAAGGAACTCCATTCCCTTTAACAGTCCCTCTCCATGCTCCCCTTCTCCCAGCCCTGGCCTCTACTCATCTATTTCCTGTCACTTTGGATTTGCCGATTGTGGGCATTTTATATAATGAGAGTCATAGAATATGTGATCTTTTGTATCCGGCTTCTTTCACATAGCATGTTTTCCATGTATCAGTTACTCCATTCTTTTTTTTATGGCTGAACAATATTCCAGTGTATGGATATACTTACTACATTTTGTTTATTAGTTATTTATCATTTGGTTGTTCGGGTTGCTTATAGTTTTTGGCTATTAGGAATAATGCTGCTGTGAGCAGTGGTGTGTGAACATACGTTGTCACTTCTCTTGGGTATATTCCTAGAAGTAGACTTATTGAGTCATGGTAAATCTGTGTTTAACTTTTTGAGGAACTACCAAACTTTTCCAAAGCAGCCACCCCATTTTATATTCCCACCAGCAAGGTGTGAGTGTTCCAATTTCTTCACATCCTCACTAATACTTGTTATTATCTGTCTTTTGATGATAGCCACTTCACATCTACCAAATGAAGCGGTATTTCATTGTGGTTTTGAATTACATTTACCTGATGGCTAATGGTATTGAACATCTCTTCATGTGCTTATTGGCCATTTGTATATCTTTGGAGAAATGTCTTTTAAGTCCTTTGTCTATTTAAAAATTATTATATTTTTAATTTTTAATTGTGGTAAGAACTAACCTAACAGAATTTGCAAT